CATTTGAGAGTCAAAAAAAGAGATTTAATATTTGATTTCTTCATAACTTACTTTGTCGATTCCTCAAAAAAGAAATGGCATGCTCAATAAGTTATCATAAAATTTATCTATATATATATATAATATTTGAATACAAAAATTTAAGATTAATTACAGGATCACGCAAATTCTAATTTCAGAAAACTTTTAGTTCGAACGAATGTTTTTATAAGATGAGCCCAATGACATCAAAGTATTATGATATGAGATATGATGAACCTAAATAAATCTCTTGAAGCCCAATTCAAAATATCCTATGATATAATGGACTAAATGATTTTTGAATATTGTGTGACTTCCATCAAAATGAGCGTCTCAACGAGAGGAAACTAATGAGCCTATAAGTTCTCAAATCAGCACGAACTGGAGGAATCTGTATGGGCGAATCAATATGGGCCATTCTGTTAACTAATTGTGGATTTTTCTAGATTTATCTAAATATCACTAGCAGAACTGATAAATAATCTATCATTTATTCACGTGAGAGTGATATGAAATTAAAGATAGAATAAATACCCATAAAACTCTAGAGGCATGTTTGATGATCTATGTCAACAATCACCGCTAGCAAATCATCACCTAATCACCACTTCGTGAATAATGCAGCTTAGCCGTCATCGCCTAACTGATGTTTTCTATCGTCATTGTTCGACCTCCATCGCTCAACTACATTTGCTTCATTGTTTTTGCTTGATCGCCGTTGTCCTATTATTGTTGTTCAACCATCATCATCTGATCACCATAGTTCAACTGTTACTGTTTGATTGTCATCTCTTGACTAGGGCTGCAAAACTAACCGGAGCCGAGCCGAAATGTGAGTGTTCATGTTTGAGTTTGTTTATTATTAACTTGTTCAAGTTCGTTCGTGTTTGTTTCGAGCTTTATTGTTGTTGTTCATATTTTGTATCGTTTAAATTAATGATGTTCATGTTTGTTCATATTCGGTTTTCGTTTAGTGCTTATTGGAGCTTAACCGACTCTGTTCAATGAACATATTTAGCGAAATTTTTTTAAAAAATATCAAAACAAGCATGTTCATGACAAATCTAAAGAGTAATTTCTTGAGCTATCAAATGAGTAAATCTAACGATGTAATATAATAAAATTAATCAATAGTAAGGAAATTAAAACTACACCATAATATTATAATATTAATTACTTAAATTTTAATTAATTAAAAATAATTATTCATTATGTTATAATTAATTAGGGATTCTTGTTATATATGTATTATATTTATCATTTTATAATTAAATAATTAATCATGTTTTAAATCGACGCTTATTCAACGAGTTCTTGAGTCGAACTCAAATCTAGCATTTATCGAACTTAATGTCGAGCATTCTGTTCACTGATATTAACATAAATAAATCCGTACTCCATCTGTTTTACCGTGTTCAACCATGCTTTTGTTAATATTTAAGGATCGAGTATTAAAATGTTGTTCAAAGTTTTGGGTTTGTTTAGTTTAGTTAAACGGATCACAAATGAGCTTTAATTGAACTCGAGCAAACGAGTAACTCGTCAAATATTTGATTCGCTTGCAGCCCTACTCTTGATCACCGTCAAACCAACAATACTTCAAACTTCTCTCCTACATTATTCTAAACAATGTAATCTCGTCTTTTAAAATTGAGTGATGTAGCGAACTATGTAAATTTTGCTTATATAATGAATTATTTGGTCTGCATTTCTTTTTGTTCAGGTATTTTACATAAAAATTGTGATTTATCGGCCGTAAACTTCTCTTTTATCCATGAGCAGGCTTTCATACAAGTGATTCGGCAAAAAGATAAAAAAATTTAGATTTATTTTACTAATTTTGACGAATAATGTCCGCAATATAAAACTTTTCGAAAACTACAAGCACCCTAAAATTATTACTTTTAATTAGGATGAGCAAATTTATTTTGTCCAGGAGCAGGATTTCATATAAATATATACTAAAGTTTGATCTTTATTCATAAAATTTAAAATTTATAATCATTTTTCATGCTTAAACCTCCGAACTGTTTATACTAAATTAACAACAATCGTTACTTAATCAAATATGCAATTATGAATCCCAACAGCCAAATTCAAATACTTTTATAATAATTTCATAACTATTTTTCTAATCACATAACATCATGAATTTATGAAGGCAACAACAGATTCCACTTCGTCCGCTTCCGCACATAAAAACAATAATATCAAACGAAACCACCCTTAAAACACTTAATATATTCATAATCAAAGACTACTATAAAAATAAAACCAAATCGTCAATTCTTCTGCTCCTTTTTCTCCTTCTCCTTTTCCTCCCCCTCAAGCTCAAAAGCCGATACAGGGAACGATCGAGAAAGGCCCGCCGGAGCCTTGAAGGTAATCTTCCCAGATGCAGGATCATCAATATACATATCACAAAGAGTAACCCAAATAAGAAGCTCCTTACTCTTGACGCCGGTTATCTTCTTCATCCGGCCATCCTCGACAAAAGCGGTAATCTCTGGAGCGTAGGAGACAAGCCGCCCAATCTTTTTGAAAGTGTGATCGGTGCGCTTTTTCTGCTTGAGCCAGACGAAGCCGGTTTCGTGGTTGTGGCCGACTTCCTCCAGCTCGTTGAGTGGAAGGAGGCCTCGCGGGAGGTGGATTCGCTCGAGGAGCTCGATTGATTTCTTGCTGCAGAGCTCTGCGCCGTGGTAAATCTCGGCATTCTCACGATGGGCGTCGATTGAATGAACCGTCGACATGGTTAATGGTTCAAGGATTTGGGATTAGGGTTTGCTTTGGGTTCGCTTTTGATTTTGAGTGAGGGTAACTGGGTTCGTTGTGTGGAAGGGGCGGGGGTAGAGGGGGTATTTATAGGTCCAAAGATAGGGATTAGTTACGGAAATACCCTTGGGTTTATGTAGGAATTACATGGAGTAATTAAAAGGTAAAGTCTTGAAGAGGACGGTTGGGGTGCGAGTGGGGCATTAATGCGTGTATAAAATAGTTATTCAGGGATTTTTTTAATCTCAAAATAAAAAATGAAGAATTTTTGTGTATTAGAAATCTTTCAAAGTTAAATAATTTTGAGGGCAATTTAATAATTATTACACCTCATTTGATAGCAATAAAGTTTTAAAATTAATTAATTATTGGATATAGGATTTGTAAATTAATTTGTAGTATAAATATATATAAGTATAATTTTTAATTTGATTCTTCATGATATTTTCAATTCTTTCTAAAGAAAATTAATAAGTTTTGATTATTCATTTATTAAATTTCACTAAAATAGTCCTACACATATATATTATTATGATATCAAATTATGAATTTTATTGGAGGATAAAATGTTTATTATAAATGATTTAATTTTAGTCCATTTGATTTAGATCTAATGATAGAGTTATCTTATTCAATTTTGAATCAAATTAAAAAGAATCGAATCAATATTTAATTTTATTTGAAGATTTTTTAATTGGCGATCAAATATGCCCTAGTTGATACAATGATCGTAATATTATTACGAGCTGTAAATATATGAATTGCTCAAATAGAAGTCTAAATGATCTTTTTTTTTCTTAAATTAAAGAAAGATGGTCAAAATTGGGTTAAATTAGTGTACATCTGTGAAACCTCTTAAAAAATTAAGCTAAATTGTTAAACATCGTTGCACTTTTTGGTATAATTGTTAGAATTTCAATAAAAACTTCAAAGTTAAGCATGCTCGTACTAAAGCGCTCTTAGGATGGGTGACCTCCTAAAGAAGTTTCACCATGAGAGACAAAATCGTGACTCCTAGGTCAGAACGGACAATATCTCGATGATTGAGAGCTTAAACAGTTACAATATCGCTCCAATTATGCCGCCTTTTTTGTGTATGTAATACACCCAATGAAGAGCTAAGAGGCACCAACAATTATAATATTATTGCTATCAATCATCGACGAATGACAGATAGCCCAGCTAATCCTTACGACTCAACTTACTTATAGTTGTTCGTGTCTTTTCTATTAAATATTGAATAAAAAATTCATAATTATAGGACTTAAAAATTATTTTCTCCTTGAATTGATTAATATCCA